TCCACGCCCCTTTGTAAATCTTTCCAAATGGCACTCAAGGGTCAGCATGGATCCTGCCTGCTCAGTTGCCCTGACAGACATCTCAGGTTCTGAGTGCAAGCCCTAGTCATGCTGAAGGCAAAAATGAAACTCACAACAACCCCTTGAAAAAATCCCGTAAACAAAACCAGAACTAATTGAAGCACAGGTAACCTCTGCTAAACTGTGACATGTAACCCAGATGGAAAGCAGCACAGGGGCCTTTTTACCAGTTTGGAGAAGCAGCAAAAACCAATTGCCAAAAAAGGCAATACCTGCAATTATCCCACAAACAGCCTGCCTTAAAGAATGACAGAGAAACGTATGGAAAACAGGAAACTCCGCTGGCTTTCTTGCTTACCACTTCCAACTGCTCCTGAAGGTGCAATGACATCATCATCGCTGTCTTCCTCGTTTGATTGTGTTACCTCTGGCTCAGGTGCTACATTCTTGACTTCTTGCTCTTGTTCCACTCTACTCCGCAAGGCCAAGATCCGGTGGTGTAACGCAGCGTACAACTGCCCGGTATCTTTAGAGCTCGCCTACATTTTTTTAATATGCAGAAACAAGAAAACAGTGCAAGGAATTATTGCAGAATAAAACACTGCTTACGTAATACACACCAGTCACGCCAAATTTCACAGTCTACTTTTCATAGGGTTTTTCAAGCTAGGTCAGAATGGGCTGTGGGATACGTAGCGAGGTGCTAGACATCATGAACCGATGGTGAGAGTATGTTCCTCTCCATTCAGCGCAAACTTTCTCCAGCTAACTGTGCTAGTTGATTTTATACAACCTTCTTCATCCAGGAGTCACAGAGCTCCCTCACACTCCCCAAAAGCTTACGTTAGAAAGACCTTTAAAAAGTTTGTCTTGCACAGATTTTTCCAGGTTTGTTAATCACTCGTCTTTACATATTAGTTAATCATAATCAAGTCACTTAATTGTTTCATGATGCACTGACATAACATTTCAACATAAGGTATCACGAGAAAACTGAATGGACATGTAGTCAGGCACGTGATTATTCTACATTTGTTTTAAACTCTTTTTATACTGGTCAGCTGTTCAGAGGGAAGCATTTGTGATAACTTGACAAAGACTGTTTTGGGGTTTAACTCTCAAAGGTTAATGGTGACTTCATGCCTTCAAAAGAATCCATTTTTAGGTCTATTGAACTAAGTATTTAATGGACACTACTTACAAGAGAACTCCCTTCTGAATACCATTAAACGCTGTCTTCACTATATCAATGAAGTCCTCATATTAACAATCATTACCGTGACCCCAAGGTAACTGTAAGGTAACAATCCCACTTTTCAGATTCTTTCATGAAAAAATGTTTTCAACCCTCCCCATCTGCCACCTCTGTAGCTGCAAAATTCCCCTGCAATGAGCTGCAGTGAAGAAAATCAACAGTGCATAACCTGATGACAGACCAAGTCAAACTTGTCAAATCTAGAAAAACGCTGAGGAAGAGTTATCCATTAATTTCACTGCTTTTTCCTCATGAATGATACTCTATCATTAAGCTCCACTCTGGGAGTCCAGACCCCAGCCCTACAAACCTAACGTCACAGGGGAAGCTGATCATTTCTTGCATTCTCTTAATTTCTGATCCATAAAAACACTTCATTCTTGAGTAACCCCTTGTGCAGAAGCAGTGTTAGTCAAAAGAATGCGTTCAGGCCTCAAAATCTGTAAGCACTCTTAGCAGACGCTGGGGAATGACCTTTCCTGCTGCCTGTATCTTAATCTCCCAAGTGTTTTAGTAATTCTAATTGGGATTGCTGTTTCCCCATTTAGCAAGCACAGAAATCCCTTTCGCTGTCCTGCTACTGCTTTGAATACTCTGTATTAAAAGAAAATCCAAGTTAAAATGTGTTACCTTTCACTACTAACACAATGTTTTTGACAGATAGTATTTCACTTCCAGTGAGCACCAATGCCTCCACCCATGCTGTAGACAATGACAGCTTTCTTGTACCAAGTAGTTCTGGTATATCGACTTTTGATTACACCACTACGTAGACATCTATGAAATGCCCACACTTCCTTTGATAACAAGAAGTGATTAGCATTCATCTTACACTACAGTTAAAGCCTTAATAGGTGTGGAACAGATCCCACAACTCCATGGTCAACACTTTGGACAACCTGGCTTCCTAAAACAGCCTTTTACGTGGCATTTCATCACAACTAGTAAGGCTTTTCAGACAAGCAAAGTCTGCCAAGGCCCTTGTCTTTGGGGAGGGGGTGGTGGTAAGGAGGCAGGGTGCAAAGAAAAATGAGAATATGACCTCAACTGCAACTTAAGCAAGCATTATGTTTAGTAGGAAGGTTAAGACAAACAAAAAACAGTACTCACTGATATAAGGAAAACTTTAACTCCCTGGTCCTCTGTATCCATGGCAGTGATGCGGATACTCTTCTCACTGGCTTTATCAATCTGCATCTGAGCCCAGAGCTTGGTATTTAAGATTAACCTGAGACTCCCCTGAGTCCTCATCACTAAAGCCAACATACAAGATCAGTTAGGTGGAAAACAACACAGCAGGAAGCTCAAAACAGCCCAGACAGCTTTTCATTGTGTGAATGTTTCAGTCTCTTTACAAAGAATATCAATAAGCCCTTAAAACAGGAACCTTGTCACAACTGTTAATCAGAAGAATGTCAGCATTAAAGATTATCAGTCATGTCTAAAGGTATTTAGTCCAAAGTCTTACATGTTAACGCACCAAAGTTGAGTGGCTGGGTCTGAGCTGATAATCTCAGGCTAATGCACATTCCTGCAGTCTGAACAACTGTGCTATTCAAAGAGACTTTCCCTCCCCCTGCAAGCACCCAGACCCAAAAAAGCAAAGAGCCCAGATCTGAAGAAAGTTACCATACATTTCTAGTCAAATATTCTAGTTGCTAAACACAGCCTGCTTTTATGGGGGTGGAAGGTAACTGGAACATTTGCTACAATTAGAGAAAGTATTCAAAGACACTTTTGAAAGGAATGGTCATAAACTGAAACAAGAGAAAAGGTCCAAAGTGCTTTCTGAGTTGCTGTAGCTAAGACATAACCTAATGTGGATGCTGCTGTGTCTCATGGAAGCATCCTATGAAAACAGGACTGCCTATCATCCAGTACCTCATTTCCCCTGGTTCCTCTTACCCAGCCGAGACTGTAATGTCCCATCATCTGTTGAGGCCATATCATTGAGTCTCAGAAGTCCTCGACCTCTTTCCACCCAGGACTGAGAGTTTTTATCAAATACAAACAGCTTGCACTGAATCTGTAACAGAAAACATCTCTATAGAATAGTGGTTGATTGAAGTAATGGTATATTTCATATTTAGTTACCTACAGCTGGTTAAAACCTCTCAGATTTCATATTGGAATTTTAAACTGTTTATAGCTGTGGAAGCCAAAGTAGTCATCCTCTCTTTAGCATATTTTGAAAAATTTTTTGCAATCTGGTTTCATAAAGTTTTATTAGCAGAAGGCAGATATTCTTAAAGAACACTGCTGCTCAAGACCAAACAAGAAGAACCATTTTCAGATAAGGTACAAACTTCCACAGAGGAAACTTATTGTGATAAGAGACTGGGTAAGAGTCAGCTATAGTCTTGAACCAGTCAAATCTTTTACAAGAAGATTTAAAAGAAGACCCAGCACAATGAAAGCAAAGCAAAATTATTCCTGTGTTAAGGAAGAAGAATGAACAAAGGTGTTAATTCATTATCAATTTGTAAAGCCTGGCCCACATGAAGTCATGAATAAACAAGAGGCATTTTTCCTGCCATCCTGGTTGACCAGTTTGAAATAGTACAGCTTTTGTACTTTCTAATGGCAGGGTTGCTCCTGCTTCCCACAAAAGCTCCCGCTTT